GCTAGGGAGGATGCAATAAAATGTGTCGTAGCAGCATTAGCCGATCCAATACATTTTTGCTCGATCCTTTACTTGCTTTAAAGCCTGTAAGGTTCTTAGAAGGAGATTTGATTCACGATTGCTACAATATTTGTTTCAGAAAATTGCAAAGCTATATTACTTCTATAAAAATCACAAAGAATTTGTGCATTCACAAGGTTTGAATCATGAGCAAAACATGCAAAAAAAAGATTTGTTATCATTCATGCAATTGGCTGAAACTCATTCAGAAATATCTTATGCAACTCTTCAAGACGAATTGCAAATTAAAGAAGAAGAGGTAGAACCATTTATCATCCAGTGTTGAAAACAAATTAAAGAAGAAGAGGTAGAACCATTTATCATCCAAGTGTTGAAACGAGTGCGCATAGATCAAACTTCAAAGAAAGTATTCATTTCTTCCACAATGCACAGGACATTTGGTAGAGCCCAATGGCAAAATCTTAGGGATATTCTTCTTTCTTGGAAACAAAATTTAAGTGTCACACAAGAGGCAATGAAAACTGTTGCGCAAGCTCAAGTTGAAATTATGAACCAACAAAAAAACATTTAATAATTTATATTATTAATTCAATTTGGAAAGTGAAAGTAAATATATTCTGTATTAAATGTATATAGAATTTGTTTTCTTATATTTTTGGTTTATGTATCTTAATTGATAATTAATAAAGATATTAAATTTTAATATAGGTCATAGATATGGTGTATCTAATTCAACATTTTATAAAAATACATTATGAACTATGTACATTACATTTGTTTTTTTTAGATATTAAAGGTTGAAATATTCAAAAACAATACATGAGAAAAAATATTAAGTAAAATTAATTGGTAAAAACTTACAATTTTTATTAAGCGTAATTGTGCTGTTTAGTTTTCGAAAACTAATTTTGAATCATTTTGCACCCTTTTTGATTTAATTATTTCACAAATAATTTATAATGTTGCAGTTGATCTCTTTTTTGCTATAATTCAGAAAAATAACTAAATTTTAATTTCATTTGACATAGGAAAATAATAAACAGGAGCATAATAAATTACAAAAATTATTATTCATTTTTTTAAAATTGAAAGTTTTTCAATATCCTTTAGGAAATTAAAAAAATTGCATTTTTTGAAATGCTTAATTTTGATTACTATGCTAAATTTTGAAAATTTCTTATAGATTGATTTAGAAATTATTTTTAGTTGCCTAAATTTTTTAATATATATATATTTTTCTCAAAATATATGGTTATTCATTGTTTTTTATATAAAAGTAGTTAATAGTGATATGTTCCAAGTCGAATAAAGTGATTCAAATTATTTGAATCAAGTTCTTAACAACTAGATCAGATTTTACTTGATTCGAATCAACTCGTATAAAAAAAATAACTACCCTGATTTTTTATACCAGCCAATTTGTCTGTCTGATATATGTATAAAAATATATTTTAATAATATATATATTTTTATTTTGATACATTAAAATATAAAATTATTAATATAATAGATTTAAAAAAAACTATAATTTATCTGTGCCATCTGACTTCTGATCCAAATTAAAATAAACCGTATTCGTAGATTTTCATGCGAATCGTTCGATTTATACGACCAAAAGCTAATACAACACACAACCGAATCATCCGACTTCATTTCTACGACTTGACTTAATACGACTCATACGAATTATTCGACTTTCAAGTATATATACATTTTTTAAAATCGTTTTTTTTCAAAAAATCATGTTTCGAAATTTTCAAAAATATAAAAGTCAAAATCGATTTTTTTTCAGACTTCATTTATACGACATTAATGCGCTCATACGCCACTCATACATGCGCCACTCATACGAATCATTCGTCTTTTAAATATATATATGTATATACATTTTTTAAAATCGATTTTTTCCAACAATTTTAGAATGTTTCGAAATTTTCAAAAATATCAAAATCAAAATCGATTTTTTCAGACTTCATTTATACGACTCAACCCAATCGTTAGACTTGATACGACTAATACGAATCATTCGACTTTTATATACATATACATTTATGGGGATCAAGCTTGGCAATTGAGACAGAAACAAAATAAAATAAAATGACTTAAGTCATTTGTTAAGTCATTTGTTAAGTGACAATTGTCATTTTTATATCATGAAATTTTATAATCAATAAATTGTATACATTTTGTATACAAGTGGAATTTATATTTTTATATACATAATTATTTCCATACACTTTCTAAAATCAAAATCGATATTTTCAGAAATTTCCAAAATTTCAAATAATAAAAAATATCCTTATTTTTCAAAAATGTTCAAATATTTAAAAATATTTCAATATTTCTAAAAAAATCATATTTTAGAAACTTCATTTAATAAGCATATGCATATATAATAAATATTTATTACAGTATTTAATAATCTAT